CGCCGTATCTCGATCGAATCTCTAGCTGCTCGAGATCGCTGGAGATCCTCCGATGGAGATTCCCATGGAAACAACGCTCGCTGCCGAGAAAGTCTTCCAGGCGATTTTCACGTCGGCTCGATTCTGTTTGCGGGATACGGGAACGATCTTCTCGAACGAGTTCGATTATCCGATAGCGAATCGAGAACGTTCCGCGGGCCGATCCGATCTGGTTAGACTCCGTCGGTCCCCGGGGGACAGGCTCGTCAACTATGACGGCAGTAAATTTTTAGTTTCGTCATTTCTTTAATCTCGCCGCGACCTTTTCTTATCTCGGCGGACCGTAGATCGCTGCGTTGAAAAACTGTTCCGCAGGATTGCTCGCAGGAAGGAATGGCATAATCTTGATGTTCTAGTTAAGGCAGAGTCGACCTTGATTCGGCCTTATCACCGTGGTACATATTATCTCAACATGCTAACTGCCGCACGATTTTCATGTTACCCGTAGGCAGATCGTGGATGTTTATGCAAATCCACATTTTCGCGTACCAGTTCCGAAAAAAGACTGTTACATATTTCGAGATTGGCTGCGATTATCTTTTACGTCGTTGAAGAATTTGTGCAACGCTGAACTTCGTTGTGCTCGAACGGTAGCGTTAAAACTCTTTCTATCGAAAGCTCTCGTAAAGATTTGACTTTAAATAGATTCTTAACCAGTTAGCTGTGGCGACTCCATTTCAGAGCGCGCACCTATATGTGTCGCGAGAATCAAGCGACGACGAGTATACTCGTCGAACACGATGCAAGTGTCGCTGTTAAAATATTGGATCAAAGAGACGGTTCTATTTGATAAAATTAACAATTTTATTACTAATATTTACTTATTCACTTGACATTAACATATACCATATACATAATAAACGAAAAACCCAGGGATAATCGAATACTTATAAAAGTTACAAATTCAAATTGCTGCTGTAGAGAGAGTGGTATTTAGCAAAGCAAGGAACAATATATAATGGCACTNCGCGAGAATCAAGCGACGACGAGTATACTCGTCGAACACGATGCAAGTGTCGCTGTTAAAATATTGGATCAAAGAGACGGTTCTATTTGATAAAATTAACAATTTTATTACTAATATTTACTTATTCACTTGACATTAACATATACCATATACATAATAAACGAAAAACCCAGGGATAATCGAATACTTATAAAAGTTACAAATTCAAATTGCTGCTGTAGAGAGAGTGGTATTTAGCAAAGCAAGGAACAATATATAATGGCACTTTGCGCGTCGAACACCAATACCGTGATTCTTTTCTAATTTTATTTTTCTAACAATGTGAACAACTTCGTGCAGAATTGGCCTCAAAATATTCCGAACATATTGAAATTTGAAAATACGTTTTTGCTTTCCTTAAAATTACAATTTAACTCGTCGTGTCACAAAATATTGCCATTTCTCCGTGACGAGTACACTCGTCGAACACAGCTAACTGGTTGAAGGACCGATGATTTCAAAGTTCGCTCGCATTCAACTATCGTTTTCGAAGTGGCGAGATAAGCGTTTCAACCTCGCCCATCTGTTACAGTTTATAATTTCTTCGTGCATTATCTTCGCGCGATGTTACCGCACGCGGGGGACTATGCAAGTTTGCCATTGAAACTGCATTTTTATCTTCAACGGTTGCCGAGATAGTCTCAGAAGTATAAATTGTCGCGAGGTAACTTCGTCCTTTAAACTTCAGTCTGCGTTGATAAAGAAGCGAATGTTCCATACATTTAGTTAGCTCGCCGTCCTCGCGAGGTTAACGCCGGAATAAAGTTTGCGGTTAATGATTTTCCGATAAACAAGACCGTCACTTTCAGTTTATCCTTTCTTACCGAGCAACACGGATTAATTAAATAACAACAGTTTGTCTGCAGGACGCGCAACTCGAGAACTATAATAGAACCGTTGCAAAATCGAATAAATTCTCCCGAATTAATTCTCCGAATATGAATGCTTAAATTAACAAGCGCTCGGATAAAACCTTCGCAAAGGGAACAAAAGTTCCAAACGTTTTTGCTCGTAATCTTCGAAATCGTTCTAATCCATGGAGATTAAGCGAGAAATCTATTCGCGACGTCCGAATAAGAGAGTCGCATTGAAATCTCCTTTTTCATAAAAGGGCTTGAAAGTTCCGCGGAACTTACATATATTTGCCGTGCCCTTTATGGTCGCAGGTTCATACGCGAGTATCACTCCGCGCATCTTCTCCCCGTTCACCGGGCCCATCAAAAAATTTCATTTTAACCGAGACCCTAAACGCGTCCGCGTTACCTCTCTCTCGCCGTGATACCGGTTGCTTTAGCGAAGAATGGGGATTTATTCGTGCGTTAACTGCTTCGTTTCGCTTCGCGCGGATGAAGCCACCTCTAAACTTGGAATGACGTATGGTGACCTGTACGACGTCGTTCATGGTGTTATGTGTTCCGCTTGCGTCTTCGATGAAACACGGATTGCCAGCTGAAAGCTTTGTTTGTTGAAGTCGACGCGATAATTTCAGCGTCTCTACGGAGACCACCGCAAAATAACACGGGATATGGGTCGTTTTAACGAATTTATTGTCGGAAAGCCGAATAATTGACGCTACGAAACCTCTCGCGATGCGCCGTGGCGCAGAAATATAGACAGATTTTCGTTGCACAGTAAAAATGATGATCATTGCAGATAGCGTCCACTTATTTGCTGATTGTGGAATACCTTTAATATCTTAGCTATGGAGACGACGTGTGTTACATCTTACAACAGAAATAGTTCTTCTACGATTTAGATTAAAATGCTTGTAAAACGTATTCATAAATTTCGCACATTTTAGAATGATTTAGAACAATTCACCGAAAGAAACTGCATCCAGTGTGATCGATAGAACGCGTACAAAATTGATCTTAAAAGTAGATCGACGCAGCTAAATGGTTTAGGTCAAAATGGCATCTTGAAAGAATGTTACAAGAATTTATTAAGAATTTATTAAGAATTTTTTAAGAATTTTTTAAGATCTTTCAAAAATTTCCTAAGAATTTTGTAAGAGTACACGAATTTGTTTTGTCAAACCGAAAACTTGCACTTCTCGCCGTTTTGAAATTATGGCTGTTCTCGACTCAATCGTGTTTCGCCGATCGTGGTTGTATTTCTTATATCCTACGGAAATCTGTAGATTCATCGTTACAGGAAGAACTTATCGCGCTTCCTGCGGTGATCGCGAGCCGTGAAAATGCATTGTTCAAATCGTCGTTAGTTGGAAAATTTTATCTGCGACATGCGCCGTGATGCCACGATTAATGAACCCTCTTCTAGAAAAACAGTTAAGGAGCGTAAAACTATCGGTCTCCGTTGCGGAAGGAAGGGAAAGTCGGTTGAGATTAATGACGATCATCTATCAACGTTAATCGGGGGCAATCCACGGTACACAAGACCAGGCGTTACATGGGACTTCATCATTCCGTAGGAACCACACAGAATGATCGATTAAAGAATTTCGACAGTTTGGATCGGTTGAGATCACACACATCGAAACGATATTGGAAAAAGATTGACAATTGTCTTTGCATCTAGACAGAATGTTCTCAAGATTCCATAACTGTCGTAAAAATATGATAAAATTTCAATACCAAAAGATAACGATGGTACAGGACTTTTGTGCTTGATTGGAAGTAGGAAGTAAAACCGTTTTAGAGATTATTTTCTAAATTGTGTTATATTGGTCAATTTAAAATAATTACCTTCTTCGGTATTAATGGAAATATTATTTGAAATATTCATTTCGTTCAAACATATTCTATTGCAATTATATAGTTTTCAATACAAAGTTTCAAAGTATCAATACGGTTTTAAATAGTTTACAATAAATATTTCTGCCATTATTCGTACAATGGAGCTTTTCTATACTATATTCATATATGAATAAAATCTTCATTAGGTAGATTACTTCAAATAATAATTTCTAACGCATCTTATTACCTCAATTAGTAATTCCAATTTATATGTAATAAATACACATTTTCATGTTCCCGGTGTTCAAAACTCGAAGAGTGAATCTTGAAACTTCATTTCAACAATTAAATTATTATCTCCGCGTTCATGATAACAAAATTAAAGGTTTTCTTGTTAACGAAAAAGCCGACAAAGACGACGTCGTAGATAATGAGAGAATGCGGCGCAAGACAATGTTCCGGATGATGTAAGGTTCGAATGGGCGTGCCATTAAACTCGATACACGTAGCATCATTACCATGGACATCGAAAACTGATATCGATCATATTTTAATCAGGCCGGATCGATAAATGCACCCTGAGCTCGGATTTTTTTTGCGAGATCGCAGTGTCCAGTTCATCCCGTCCAGCCAACAATATCTTCGTGTAGTTAAGGTTCTGGTACTATTAGATTAGAGGCAATTAACTAGCGCATATTACGGAGCCATAGAGTACGGCAATGCCAGCGGCCCTCTTCGGACCTTTTTCCTCCCTTTCTTTCTCTCTTTCCACTTCCCTCTCTTTCTCCGCGTTCCGTCGCCGACGTAATATCTCGTTACGAGCATGTCGGTATTCCTGGCAACGCGTGCAACGTCGAACATGAAAAATTCTTGAACTCGAGCTACGCGCGTGTCGTCTCTGCCCGTTGCTCCGGATACTTCACCCGTTAAACCCATAAAACGACTTCCCCGTAGAATACGAAAAAATGTACCAGCCTACGAAATCGATCGATAGCACGGGCGCTCATCAATCGCTATACAGTAATGTCTCCCTAATTGACGCTCAGATTGTCCACAAACAATTTGGGACAATTTGGGAAGATGAGATACGATTATTCGAGCCTTGCGGTTTATTTTTATAATTATAAATTGTCCACAATTATAAAAACGAGCCGCGAGGCTCGAATAATCGTATCTCCTCTTCCGAAATTATCCAATTTAGTGGACAATCTGAGCGTCAGTAAGGGAGACATTACTGTATTTACTACAGTGACCATCTGCAAACTCGGCGACTCTGCGAACTATATAGGCTGTATGAAAAAATCGTTTTTATCGCGTTGACCGCGATGTTACTCAGAATTTGGCAACGGAATTATTTGTGTCCAAAGTTGAAAATTAATTTTCACACTAATCGATCGAGTACACCTTCCGCGAAATGCGAGAGAGCGATCGATATCGTAAATCTTTGTTTCATTAAGTGAACGGCCCTGTTCTCGTCGAGTTTTCCCGGCCGCTGAATGGGCAATCGGCACGTTAAAAAACAATTCAGCATTCTAATGGAAAAACGCTGACCTTTCGAAGGCGAAAGAGTATAGTATCCCTGCCGCGGATAAAAATCCGTGACATTTTTAAAAAGTTATTCGGACCGAGCTTGAAATATTGACTGCCGTGCGTGTCCGTCGTGTGCCTTTATGAATATTAATGTCGAATGAAAATCGCGAGGATGATTAGCCGATTGCGAATTTGATGCATCTATAACAAAAACGAATCGCGTTTGTTCCCGGGGAAAAAGATCAAACAGCGTTGCGTACGCGTTGGAAATTTTCAGCGAGCCGATCTTTTTCCGGTGCTCGAATCGAGCACTTTTTAAGAAAATCCAACTGGAAGATCGAACGATTGGAATCGGGGAACGGTGAACGGAAACGTAAAACAGCTTAATGAGCATCGCTGCGATAGAAAAAAAGATAAACCCTGCGAACAGGTATCGTAAAACGCGAAGCACGAGCAAACAATCCGTCGATCCGTGCTCGAATGAATTCTTACGCGCCGAAGTTGTTAGCGATCGCTGAAATTCTTACGGACCGCGAAACCGCTAACGAAGCGACGTAGTTAACAACGGTGGACAAAAAGTTTGAGTGCCGAAGCCACTCGCGGAGTGCTCTGGCGGACATTCGGAACCGCCGTCGGAAAAATGAGAAGCTGAATCCATTATCAAAAGGTCGGCGAGTTTTTATCAGTTCAGTGAACTCGCTCGGCCGAGTGACGGATTCTATCGGGTCTCGTTCGTAATTTCAGCAGCCGAAGAATTTATAATTAACGCGGGCCCCGCAGCTGTAATTTCGAAATTGTAACTTTCGGACAGTTTCTGGAATTAAACGTGTCGCATATTTTCGGGCGCATAGTTCCTTTGCCGCGCGGACGTCGAGCAATTTATTAACAGCGCCGCGTCTGAACAACAACGCGAAGGGTTGCTTTTGAACTTTATGCTGTGCCATAGAGCACCCCGGCGTGTCGCCTGTGGCTCTAATTTGGGTTTTACAGTGAGAATGACTATCATAGACCGATGCGAAATGACGCGAATGCTGCATCGTTCAAATTTATGAGTCGCATCGTCGCGCATTCAATTCCATGCAGCGTTTATTTCTCGAATTTACTTACATTCAAATTTTTACCGTCCGCGAACGTGTCGAAGAACTTCGTTACGGTTTAAACGCAACACTTTTACACTTTATATTTGCTCTGCGAGCGATTACATGATTCGATTCATGCATTAACAGCGAGGTTTCGCGACGCGGTTTAGTTTTTGCTGGAAGATCGCTTAGGAGATCGATCGTTGGATAGTGCTCGGTGGTTCCAGCGTTCGGATCGGTGTTCGAGCATCGAGAGCGCGAAGTTTCTTGCCGACGAGGTCCCCTATCCGTGTCCTCCGTAGGCATTAAAATTCAGTCGGGGTGTCGGGGCAGCGTATTCATGGAGTAAAAAGCGCGCGTGTCTGCGCGTATCGACTTGGAGCGGGTCCGTTGTCGCGCGGCGGGTCGTTTTTACAGGCTCGCGACGCGTCGCGCATTACCCGCGTGGAATTTCGTTCGCAGAAAGAAGACGGATCGAAGATCAACAGGATCGTCGTTGGATCGCCGTTGGATCGTCGGTAGGACGGAGAAGAGGAGAATGAAGTGAACGTAATCGAACGAGGAAAATCGAACGTCAGGGAACAGACAGACATATCGGCCGCGGAAGAGGGCGCGAGATGCGAGAGGATCATAGATGATAACGAGATCTCTATTAAACGATATACATATATACATAAATATATATATATATATATACATATAATATAACATAAATGTACATAAAAGTAATAATATCTGCGAGGCAACCGTGGAGCACACAGAAGCATATATAAGAAGAGTATTTAACGTCGCTGTTACGCGATCCTATTGTTTTCTCTACTCCGATGTTCGAAGTTTAAGCAGAAGAAAATCTAATCTATTTAAAAACAAAAAAAAAGAAGATTTATCAAATAGTTGAATTAAGAGTAAGCGCACACGCGCCCGTTTATCGTCGTTGATCAAGAACGAGCTAAAAAATAAAAGAAACGACCAAAAGTAACAAAACCACGAGGAAACGAATTGCTGTCAATTACTAATCGAGTCGTTGGATTAACAAATTTATCGCCTAGTTCAATTAACTACTGCTACTGTCGCTGTTCTAACGAGTTTCTTCTGTAGCGGTTTCTCCGAACCTACCTCCTAAGAAGAAAAGGGCGCGGTGACAAAGGGCCGGACGAAGAGGAGCGCGTTTAGGTGACAACGAAGACGAGTGAAGTGGGGGGAGAGGGGGCTACCGGTAAACGGCCTACAAACGTGTGTCTCTAGATATAGAGCACGCCGGCTCCTCGAGCCGACTCTTCGCAATGGTTGTACCTGGTTTAATCTGCAGTTAAGACTTCGACCGTTCTGAACGGAAGCCGCGATCGCTTCCGCGCCGTTCCGAAGGTAAGAGAGTAATAGAATAGTCAAGGCCGGTCGCGTTACGCCACTGCTGGAGCCAGACGGCTCGACGCTGGCACAGTTTCCATCAGCCGAGATCCACGGATCGAGACCAGGATCGAATCAACTATGCACAAGTCGGACGCGCGTGTCTGATTAAGGGAGATTCATTGCAACGATTCCGCGGCTATAAAATCGTACCATTTTCGATCTGCTCCACGCCAGATCTTCCGCGTATCTTCAGTTGCGGCGCGGTGAATTACGTCGGAGCAGGTTGACCTGTTAAGCGAGGAATTAACTTTCGTTCGAATCGTTTTGCAACAGGGACTTTTTTCTTCGCAGTGAGAAGTTATATTATCGCGCGTAAAGTAATTGAGAGGGATCGCTCTTCTCACTTGTTGATTATTTATTTCGACAAAATATTTTAGAAAATTGTCTCGCAATCCGGAAACGAGGGATTCCTGAGGTCATTCGAAGCAACTTTCTCCTCAGCGAAAATGCAGTACGCGGCTCCGTTCACGAGTTAATAACGAAAAACGGGGACCAATGAGAGGCGAGCTCGCCTGGCGCTAGGCCGCCGAGCCAATCAGTGGGACTGGGCTTCGACCGCTCGTTGGCCCGGCCGCCTCGCGCCAGCATATCTCTCGCCTCGGGCGTGCCAGTGAGCGCCACTGAGCTTCGTGCACTCGTTGGCTCGGCCACCTCGCGCCAGCGAGCTCGCCTCTCATTGGTCAGCGTTTTTCGTTAATAGCTCGCAAACGAAGCCGCGGACTGCATTTTCGCTGAGGAAAAAGTTGCTTCAAACGATCTCAGGAACCTTCTATTTTCCGGATTGCGAGACATTTTCGGGACATTCTCTAATAAATCGAATATTTCCGATGCCCCTTAGTTGAATCGTTGTTGATAAATATTGGGTTGCTGGAAAAGTAATTTCGCTTTTCCAAATGCATAGCCTAAAAGAACACCCCTTATACTACGTTTGAAATGAACCTCGCCGTATCTCGTTAAGAGGTTAATAGACAAAGATTTGAGGATGAAATGTTATGGTTTCTCTATACTTCGACGACGATCTACCTCTCGAGTCGATTTCCACCGTGTGAGCGATAAGAACGAGAACTTCCACTCCGCGGAATGAGATTTTTGATTGTATGGTGCTTGCAGATTAGTGTTTGCACCTCGAGCAGACATAACCTTGAGCACCAATTTGCGAAAGTTTTCTTGCGACACATTTCCAGTGCGGTGAACTAGGGGAAACGTGAAGTGCCGCAGTGTTGGAACGAGAGTAGAATTGGTCTCTAGTGTTGTAGACCGAACCCTTTCCGGTTTCTCAGTACACATGTTCTTGACAGTTTTGTTGTAGAAGTAAACGTGTTTATCATCGAGTAGTTTTATTGAAAACTGAAGCCATCGATCTTGTCGTCGACACTAGAATTTGATGCTGGAGAATAGAATGTTAATTCGAAAGAAAATTATAACGGGAATCTGCTGGAATAGATAACATTTCACGAGATCTTTTTAAAGAACTTTTTCAATTACTTGAAAGCAAATGCTGACATTTTTCATCCTTTCAGGACAAAAGAATGAAAATTTAGCTTCTTGTTTTATTAATCGTGTCTTTATCGTTCCTTTCCGACTATCTTCATTAACTTTGAGTCTTCAAATTAATCGATATACTGCGAAAGAATATTTGACTTTACCTCAAGATTTATTTAATTATGCAAGATTTATCGAAACCATAGAAAAATTTAGAGTAATGGAGCTCTCCGATAGCGGGACGTTCGGATACCCAGTCAATTCGATTGCCTGTGTATACAGGGTGTCCGTTGAATTCGCAAACTTTACCTTTAAAGTCAAGACTATAATTTTACTAATACTGTAACTCAGAATTAGTAGTGAAGGATTTAGGCAATTACATTTGAGTTAGTTTAATTCGGTTATAAATTAACTAACATATCACCACAAGTAATAAAATCAATTTCTTTTCGAAATTGTCATGCTCTGTAAAATCGAAGATAAATTATTAACTATATCTTCATAAATCGTCCAATAATAATTTAATTTAAGCCAAGTTACCTCGAGCAATGCAATTCACTAACTTCTTGAATCTAATTTCTCAAATAATTGCTTAAGAAATAAGCCTAATAATTGTAACATTTTTTGTAATATAACTTGTAATTGTAACTATTGTAACTATTGTAACTATTTGTAATTGTAACTTTGTTTCGCGATGAAATTGAACAAAATACGGTCACACGTGTCCGATATTTACAGGGCACCCTGTATAGGATTCTCGTTGTACAGGGTTCGTTTCTTCCTCGAATGCGAAGCACCAAATTTCGTTTGACCAAACCGCACCAGACCATTCCGTTGCCTGCGATTTCCTCTGTCAATTCTCTGTTGCCAGTCGGTTCCAGACCATTGCTTCCAATTAAGTTTCCAATCGCGTGGCGACGGTGTCACGGGGGAGGATCATTTTGTCCCATAAGGATTCCGGCCGCGACCTCTTTCGAAGTCAACAAGAAAATTCAACGAGACAGCTTCGGAACGAGAGACAAGGGATCATGCTGCTCGCTCGGTTACCAGATCCGTGAACCGGCGAACTCTGAGTTTAGCAACTTGTGATTAAAATTTCGGATAACGTCACAGATGTGTTATCGATCGAGACTGTATAATGGTTCACGAGAACGTCGATTATTGTTGCACGAAGTTAGGGCAGAAGAAATCCGATTAACGATCAACGATTATAACTCGTCAGTTATTATAACTAATTTATAATAATTAGGCAGAAAGTGATATGATTCGCGATTAACGATTATATCTTGATAGTTATCATAATTCATTTATAATAACGATTTTTAACCAAATTATAATAATTTGTAGATTACTTTTTGCCCAATTCTGTTGTTGTACGACGTCACAGTGGTCCGAATCAAAGAATTAAGTGCAATTAATATAATTAATATTTCGAACTGTATTATAGTTAAAGAACAAAAGTTCGAGTTATAAAAAAGACACCTAAATGACATGTTCACTAAAAAATGATGCAAAATAATCGCTTTAATTTAACAACTAGTTTTTCAATTGATTAAACGTTGTTATCCTAAGATAGCATTTAATCTCTATTGCAATTAAGTATATTATTATACTGAGAAAAACGAAGAAGAATGCAAACATGTGCAGTAGCGTTGGTTAATGTAAATTATCTTGCAATAGAAACAGAAGTTGCTTGTGGTACGCATGGTCTCTTGCGTTAAATGCTAATCGTTCCTAACTAGTTAATAATTCTAGGATCATGTTAACGTTAAAGTAGAAATTCAAGAGTCTGTAAATATCTCTGCACCGGCAATAACTATAATAAAAATGAAATTCTTAAAGAATATGAATACACGATCTACGATCGAGCGAAAAAATCGAACAAAATTAAGAAATTTCTTTTTAGCTTCTGTTTTTTGTAATCGATACAGGAAGTTATCGCATTACTCACTAATACACAATCCAATGGCGTACTGATTAGAACAGATTATAACATATTACCGTTAAATTTCCGATTTCCCTCGGATCCGTCTCCATCATTTATTTACAACGACAGAGAACGTTAGCTTCGGGATTATCAGTTCTTAAAGCGTCACCTTGGGTCGTTGGACGTACGTTTCCGGGACGAATCAATGATAGTAAATTTCGCCACGCACAGATGAAACTATCTCGCGCCTGTAATAATGGAAGCTGTCACAAATTATTCAGGATTTCCCGTCGGGAAATCCGCAATCCGGAAACGCCGAAACGCTGACGAGATCGGATCGAAAATAAAGTTCTATTATAGAACGCGGCCGGTCATAGATCCGAAAGGATTTCGTGCTCCCGAGGAAGGGCAAGGCCCGGAAGAATTTTTGCCGGCAACGACGAGAGAGAGAGAGAGAGAGAGAGAGAGAGAGAGAGAGATACAGCCGCAGTTTTACGGACCATATTCGGATTATAAAGGACCGTAAAATGAACCAGGCGACGGAAGTTGGCGACGTTGCGGTGCAAAGAAGCGACGCTGCTGATTCATTCGAACGGCGACGAGCGCGATGTAACGTTAAACTTTCGGCCACTTGGCAGCGGCAGACACTTCCCGCAATTTCCTGGTCGCATCGCGTGAGAATGGAACGCCTTTAGGGGCCCCGCCGGGAAGACAGTTCGCCGGTGAAAAACCGACCGAACGTGCCAAGACACTTGTTGACGTCGTCGCCGTCCTGCCCTCCATTCGCAATCTGCTTCTTCATTCCGCGCGATCGGAACTGTATGCGTTCGACCGACGGGTAACTTAGCTTCAAAGAACCAGGCCCCCGCGATATTCGCGACGGCGCTTCTTTCCCCGCTATCGATCGTATTCCCATGGCGAACGAGAATTTCCATGGTAAACGTCGCGCACACGCCGATGCATGCGAATCCCTTCCATTAGTTTTCTTTATTTCTCTTCGGCGGATCGATACCGAAACGTTCTTGATCTCGTAACGCGTTTCACGATCGACTTCGCTGCAACTTCGGGACAATTTGGTTACGCCGACGGAAACCGGAGAGTTTAAACTGTTTAACAATCGGCTTAATCGAATTTCGCCCGATCGAATGCATCGCGACGCAGTTTCTAAATCTGGTGGATAGACCTATGTGTACATGCGCGACCGACGCGACAGTGGACACGTTGAATTTAAGTTCCGGAAAGCTGGAATAGATCGGGAAATTTGATATTTACTAGCTTCCAGTTTGTCACGGTGAAAATATTTCCTGGGACGTAGGCTAACAAAATTATTCCATGAATAATTTGTTTCTATCGCGTCGCTGGAATCATTCTGCGGAATAAGAATTTTCAGGGGCAATTGTGAGAGACGGAAATGATATCAAAAATGTACTTCTTCCATCGATGATAGAAAATGCAACGTGGCTTCATAGTTGCACATTCATTTCTGTCGCGAATGCATGGAATTCATAATGTGACGTGAAGTAGCTGTTTAGGTTCTTACATCGAA